CTCGCGTTAGGCTACAATTATACTTAACGTATCTTAACATGCTCAAAGTTTGTCTAATTTTGTCACGAATAAAGTAGTTAGATAATAATAATAATAATAATAATACCTAATGATACAAATATAGAGCAAAAGTACAAAGAGAAAATAGAAAAATACATACCACTCACCGAAGAAATTAAAAGAACATGGAAACAACAAGAAGTACATGCAATACCCGTCATAATATCAGTAACGGGAATAACATTACACACATTCGGAAAGCACCTAACACAGCTAAAAATATCGACATACATCCACCATGAAGTACAGAAGGCAACTATATTACACACGTGCAACATCACAAGGAACTTCCTCAGTGACATAAATTAAACACCAAACTGGATCTGGCAGTGTCTCGTCCAGTCGCTGGAAACCCCCGGGAAGGGAGGAAAAAAAAATAATAATAATAATAACAATAATAATAATGCTTTATTAACGGACGGAAGTCCTTTGGTATACAATAAATATAATAAAATGAAATATACAGTAATAACATAGTAGTAAAGTAGTACAAACAGTAATGGAATAAAAAATAATTAACGAAAAGGAGAAAAAAGAAGAGAAGAAAAATTTAATAAATTAATGGTCGAGGTCTAGTTGAGCCTTGAAATAGATAATAGCTAATTAAAATTAAATTTTCCGATTCCTCGTAATCGAATGGTATACAATAAATATAGTAAAATGAAATATACAATAATAACGTAGCAATATAGTAGTACAAACAGTAATGGAATAAAGAATAATTAACGAAAAGGAGAAAAGAGAAGAGAAGAAAAATTTAATAAATAAATGGTTCAGGTCTAGTTGAGCCTTGAAATAGATAATAGCTAATTAAAATGAAATTTTCCGATTCCTCCTAATGGAATTTTGTCGCAAAGGGGTTGAAATCGATTAATTCTCGCGATTTTCCGTGATTTTTTACTCCGACTAAGTACCAAGTACGAGGTGTACCTCGTCGAAGTGCGAAGTTTACGAAGTTTCGTGGCAGTGTCCGCAACAGCGAGAGAAAGGACCATTTTATTGCCGTTTTTATTCGAGGAACTTACCACCACGGTTGTGATCGATGGTGATCGTTTTGTTTCCGTGAAAAAAAAAAAACATTCGCAGCGGCGATGCCGATTTTTCACCTTGGTTCATTTATTCCTTCCATTTTTTCCCTCGTGCAAATCGATCGATTTCGCGTTATCGTCGAAGTTTCAGCCGCGTTTTCGTTTTAATTCAACACCGTTGCACGGCCTATTTTTCAGACCGGCGATTGCTCGATTAATCCCGCGGCCACGTTCCGTTTCCGCATATTTCATCGATCAAGCACCCCGATCCTCGCAACCTTGTTCCCCCGAATCGTCGGAGATACGTCTTAACCGGTGAAAATCGAATAATTAACGGGAGAAATAAACGGGATGTTTGTACCCTCGAAGGTACTTTATATTCACTTAGGTTTTCGAGAAAAGGGACAGTCGATTCGCGGAAACCAACCCTTGTCAGGCGAATAAATTAACCTAATGGGTGTTTCAAAATTTACGCAGGAAGTAATTTTGACAGAAAACGCGGGTTTTTAATTTAAAATTGTAAATTTTTTATTGGGTCATAAAGTATGCAGCAGTATACTCTTTAGTATAGTACGCTTACTATAGATTAGTATCTTAGTACGTTAGGATTTTAGTATTTTAGTGTTTTAGTATCTTAGTATCTTAGTATCTTAGTATCTTTGTATCTTAGTATCTTAGTATCTTGGTATCTTAGTGTCTTAGTATCTTAATTTGTTAGTATCTTACATTGTCAATATCCTAGTATTTTAGTATGTTAGTATCTTAGTATTTTAGTGTCTTAGTATCTTAGTATCTTAGTGTCTTAGTATCTTAGTTTGTTAGTATCTTAGTATTTTAATATTTTAGTATCTTGGTATTTTAGTATTTTAGTTTCATAATTTGTTAGTATCTTAGTATTTTAGTTTGTTAGTATCTTAGTATCTTAGTATTTTAGTTTGTTAGTATCTTAGTATTTTAGTATCTTGGTATCTTGGTATCTTGGTATCTTGGTATCTTGGTACCTTAGTATCTTAATATCTTAGTATCTTGGTATCTTAATATTTTATTATCTTAGTATTTTAATATCTAGTATTTTGTTATTTTAGTACCTTAATATCTATGTATTTTATTATTTTAGTATCTTAATATCTTAGTATTTTATTATCTTAGTATCTTTCCTTTTTCGTTTGACAACATTTTACCGCGTAAATGGCGCTAAATTCAAATCTTGCGCGAATTTTGGGACTCCCTATAGATCAATCGCATTCAACGAGAACGAAATTTAGTCACTGATATCCTCGCGAAGCGATCCTAACTTCAGTATAAAAAGATTCCAAAAATTCCTAAGATTCTGCAAATTTTAAAGTTCCCCTTTTTAATTAAATTTTAACCCTTTTATCCATATTAATCCCGCGTCGAATTAAATACCCCGATCGCGGTATAGGGCGAACCTAACTCTCCACGATCTCCCGTAACGAAGTATATAAAATGAAATCGACGAAGCATATCGATTTTCGTGGAATCGCTAATAAATCCGCGTACCACGATTCGAAATTAAAGAGCGGGAACGGAATCGGCTGAAAAATCGAAATTTCGAAGCGGATTCCGATCGATCGTTTCGAGAAGGTTGCCCGAGGTTTGAACGATCCTCACGGGGTCTCTTGGCATTTTTCAGATCGGATGGAACGAGAGTGGAAAAAATAGTAATTGCGGAGTGGAGATGATTCCCTACTAACAGAGTGTGGAGATTAACCGAGTGTTGAAGTGAGAGCCGCATTAACGTGTTATTAACGTGATGTAACGAACACAGCGAGAGTAATCATGGAGAAGGTCTGCTGGTCGACCTGGAGTAATCCGAGAGCCACGAAGGGTAAGTTGATTTTGACTTTTACGCTCTTTCATTTCACGATTAACCGCATGCGCTTGTCTTTTAACCTTTTTGCTCGAAAAGAATCTCGCGTGGATAAAGCGAATCGATTCTTGATCGGAGAGAATCCAGTCGGATGACTCTCACTCGAAATCGTTTCCAGGAGTCCCTTAGATCTATGTTTCGATCGAGAAATCCATTGTTAGAAGGAACACGTCGTAATTTCAGAAAATTGTTTACCCATTGACAGTAAATTAATTTTAATTCCATAAATCGTTTGGTAAGACTCGCCAAACTTTGACAGAGAATAGCTAGGACTTGTCATAGGTCAGTGAACAGGATTGCAGCTTCGATATCCTTTTTCCAAAGGAACTAATAAAAATCGGATTATTTTTAAATTATTACAAATTTATAAAAATAAAAATAGACGGCAGACGGTCATCATAATAGCATGCGAAGTTTATGGAATTAAATGTAAATGGAATATAAATTTGAAATCAAGACAGAAAAGTCCAATCTTGCTCGAGAAATCCAGTGTTAGAAGAAACACGTCGTAATTTCAGAAAATTGTTTACCAATTGACAGTAAATTAATTTTAATTCCATAAATCGTTTCGTAAGACTCGTAAAACTTTGGCAGAGAATAGCTAGGACTTGTCATAGGTCAGTGAACAGGATTGCATCTTCGAGATTCTTTTTCCAGAAGAACTGGCGAAAATCGAATTTTTTAAAATTATTACAAATGTATAAAAATGAAAATAGATGGCAGATGGTCGTCTTTATAGGATGCGAAGTTCGTGGAATTAAATGTAAATGGAACATAAATTGGAAATTGAAATCCAATGCGAGAAGGAACACGTCGCGATTTCAGAAAATTGTTTACCAATTGACAGTTAATTAATTTTAATTCCATAAATCGTTTGGTAAGACTCGTCAAACTTTGACAGAGAATAGCTAGGACTTGTCATAGGTCAGTGAACAGGATTGCAGCTTCGATATCCTTTTTCCAAAGGAACTAATAAAAATCGGATTATTTTTAAATTATTACAAATTTATAAAAATAAAAATAGACGGCAGACGGTCATCATAATAGCATGCGAAGTTTATGGAATTAAATGTAAATGGAATATAAATGTGAAATCGAGACTGAAAAGTCCAATCTTGCTCGAGAAATCCTTGTTAAATGGAACACGTCGTAATTTCAGAAAATTGTTTACCAATTGACAGTAAATTAATTTTAATTCGATAAATCGTTCGGTAAGATTCGCCAAACTGTGACAGAGAATAGCTAGGACTTGTCAGAGATCGGTAAACAGGATTGCATTTTTAAAATTATTTTTTAAAATTAATACAAATGTATAAACATGAGAATAGACGACAGGCGGTCTTCTTTAGAGAAAATTCACGATATTAAACGTAAGCGTAATGGGTGTAAATTTGAAATCGAGACCGGTCGTGCAAGTTCTCGAAATCGAGGCGTGGCGCATTAATTAAATGTAAAATTAATTGGCCGGGTGGAAAATGAAACGAAATTGAAAATTATCGAGTCTCCGTATAGGTTCGTTAATGGGTGATTTAAACGATTAAATCGATGGAATCGGAAGTCAGCTGGATTTAATCGCCGGTTTAATCGAATAGCGCGATACCCCGCGATGTAACCGTGTTTTTCGCGAAACGTTCGTTCCGTTCGAGCACGCGATGAATTCCCGATGGATCGGGGTGTGAACCCGAATCGGTAGGGTGAAGAACAGGTTCCCTGGGTCCGTTCGGCGAAAGAAATTAGCGGAACGGTGACGCGCAGCCTCCTTCGCGATACTTTCGGTTTCGTCGTGGCGAGTTTTGCTCGGGAAAGAGACCATAAGGCAACCGGTTGCGGACAGACGAACCACTTTCTTCGGCTTCTCTGTCAATCCGCGGATCGAGAGCATTCGTAGGTATAATTTCATCTGGAAACCGCAGTAGAGATAGACTTTCTCGGCTCGTCTCCAATGGAAAGTCAGCAGAACCCAAGAACCGAGTCTCTGTGTCGGTGGTAAACCGAGTGGACCAATCTCTCCTGGATTAACCCTTTGACTGCCACGTTGAAATCGCATGTTTCGCTCAGGGCGTCATGGGAGTATTTTTATTATTCAAAGCATAAGCGCCACCAATAATCACCGTGGCAGTCAAAGTGTTAACAGAGGTCTAGCTAGGTCGATGACGAGCGTTTCGATTAAATAGACCACTATCAGAGGATGTCCACGTCGATTTGGCAGACGTTGACAGAGGTTAGGGACGTGTGCATGGCCAATTACAAAATCATGTAGAGGTACGTGTCACGGGATCACGGTTCTAGAAAGATCATAACCACCGAGAGCATTCCATGACGCGTGTCCGCAGCAAAGAAAAATGGCGATCGGATACACACTTGCCAAAACGCGAGTACACGTGTCATGGATCGAGATCCTGGAAAGACTAGAACTATCGAGAGCGTTCCTTAACCCGTGCCCCCTTTAAAGTCAAAAGACGATCAGGTGCTCAGATATTAACGTATTACGTATCGCATAAAAATCTCTGACATATCCAGGGATCGCTCGTTTTGACAAGACAGTGCGTTGACATCGCAGATTCATGACAGATAGCACGCGAAACACGAGAAAACTCGCGAGTGGTACGTAATGGACGCCTAGGACCCCGATCATCAGAGCAGTCAATCCTCCTAAACACGTCCCTAGTCTTACACGATAAATTAAATCCAGACTTCAGTCAATTTCCTTTCATCCTCGCGACTGCGAACGGTAGCGAATGATCACCTGATAGGATGATTCACGAACTCCGCGAACCTAATTGATCGGTCCCCAGCATCTTTCAGACTTGGAAGAAACGCGACGCGAAGCGAAGCTAGGCTTAAAAGGGTACAAGACAGCAGTTAGGAGCGTCGGTGATTGATACGCGTTTTAAGGATTTTTAAGGATTTCGAGGATAGATGGAAACTAGATGAGAGAAGTCACCTCGAGACTCGCGGACACGCGTGCATTTCTGAATTCATTAATCAGCCGGATACGGTTTGTTAGTTTATCACGATTCAGCGTTTAACGAGTCCTCGTCGAGTGTCGTTCCAGCAACTCTACACGCGCACGCAACGGAATACCCGGTTCATCGATCAGCCAGACACTTTCCATCAATTTGTTGGATGTTCTCGAGGAAGCTCCGTTGTACTCGGTAATCAGGGAATTTCTTAAAAAGACCATCTCGCAGCGTGTTCGCCTCGGCCCCATCCGCTTTTCCATCGGCCGAAAGAAATACAAACGGTACCTAATGAAGATACACCGCGACGAATCCGCTTGGAATTCTTTCGAAATCCATTATCGCGACTGTGGAAGCCTGGCTGCGGAGTCTCGTACGCCGATGCAAATGAGCATTGGTTCTCGTTTGCTCGCCAGTTTCGCAAGTTGCTTATGGCTTTTCCGTCATTCGTGTACATTTTTTCCGCGTTCCTGTCTGGGCTGTCGATGCTTCCCCGGCCGTTCTCTCACGTCCCAGCCGCGTGTTTGCACGTTCCTACGGTTTCCACCTCGGCCAAACGTTACCCGTTTCCTTCCTCGTCGCTTTTATTTCTTTCCCCCTTGCGCGCTCTATCTTTTTCGTTTGTCCATCGACTATTCGCTGTACGACTAACGAACGAGCACGCTTCCTCCGTGGAAATTGAATACCCAGACGGCAAAGAGTTATCTATTGGTTTATTCGTTTGCTCGCGAGGAGAGACAATAGCTGACTCCGGAGAGACGAATGCGGTCTTTCGCGAAGTAGGGCGTTTTAGCTCGCGTAATTCATGCAAATTCGTTGCCTGCGCGTGTTTGCGATTTTATTCCACGCGTGGATCGTTAATCCCTTGCTCTACGATTTAAGATTCGACAGCGTGATCCAAAAACGTAAATAGAACTGCTTTATCTATACGAATCTGTCTTAAGTTGCACCAATCGCACGCGTCTTACATGGGGTACATCGAAAAACCAGGGGCATGACACGTGGTGTTCACATTTGGTCCGACTAATGTACCACGTGCCAGGCCCGTGATAGTCATTTTCGACCCAACCGATGTACCACGTGCCAGGCACGTGATAATCAGTTTCGACCCGGAAACCCGACCACGAGTCTCACACGTGGTTGTAAGCCAAAGGTTTAATAACCCCCGATGCTCATCGTGACTACTTTCATCGGACCTTTCGTTAGATAGCTAGATTCTCAGCCACGATTCCGCACGTATAGCCTCCACGCGCGTCCCACATCTGGCGCTCGAATTTTCACTCGCGTGGCTCTAAAGCAGATTAAATTTCTGGAAAAAAGGTGGCAACTTCGATGGATTGGTCGATAGAACGTCGCTCGTGTTAACAATCTGACTCGACTCGTTCGCGTCGGTTCATTTGCAACGGAGCGGAATGAAAGGCAGCCTCGCGCAGACTCGCGAAAAATTCATGAAATTTATATAATGGCGCCCCTGGAGAGATGCCGAAACATTTATCGCGTTCCATTCATTTATTTCGAGAATCGCGTCGTTTCCAATGAGCAAAGACTCGCGTGCGAATAATTCCCCGCGAACGGGTCGAGAATGTTTAAACCATGTATTCCTCTCTAAGATCGGAATCCTCGTTTCGCTTGGCAACTTGTTTACCTGTGCCTCGAATTAAATTCGAAAATAGAGTCTCCGAGCCCGAGGAGAATTTCGATTTTGCAATTCCAAGCGATCGTCTGAAAGAGCGTCTATCGCGAGGAGACGCGGATAGAGTCTAACTCTCGCGATACCTAATTCACGCGAGGATTATGCGCGTGGAGCATAGGCAAATTGACAGGAATCTGGCAATGGTCAGCGATCGTACGGCGAAGGATAAAGGATGGGACGAAAAGTGAATGGAGGATGGCCACACGGATCTCGGGATTATTCTATGAAAATTTAATGGCGCCGCGGAAGTGTCGTCTGTGGCAGGCTTTCGCGTGGCTTCTCTTTATTTTGATCGTGATCAAGAG